AGTTTTTCTGTGTACATGTTTGGATGGTTTTATGTTTATGATGAGCATCTATTCTTTTCTTTTTCTTTTCTTTTTTTTCCCTGAGTTGGAGTCTCACTCTGTTGCCCTGGCTGTAGTACAGTGGCACCCTTACAACCACTGCAGCCTCAACCTGCTGTGCTCAGGTGATCCTTCTGCCTCAGCCTTCCAAGTAGCTGGTACCACAGGTGCATGCCACCATGCCTGGCTAAGATTTTTATTTATTGTAGAGATGAGATCTCGCCAAGTTGCCCAGACTGGTCTAGAACCCCTGGCTTCATGCAATCCCCTCGCCTCTGCCTCCCAACGTGCTGGGATTACAAGGGTGAGCCACTGCACCTGGCCAACACCTATTATTTTCATAATTAAAAAGAATGAAAATAAAAGGAACAAGGAAGGACTCTGGTGGAACGATGGGTCCACTGAGTCAGTGCAGGGAGGTCAAAGGGAATGAGATGTGGTCATCAGACGTGACAAAAAAGATGTTTGGTGACCTCTGAGAGAGCATCTAAGTAGTGGCTAGGGGCTAGAAGTCAGAATACAATATATGGAAGAGAGGTGTGGATTGGAAAGAAAGACTTTGAGTGTGGAACACTTGTTTAGGAAGTTTGATCATAAAAAGAAGTTAAGAAACAGGACAGTTAGGGAGGGAACCACAGCATCAGTTAGATATTTTCTTTTCTTTTCTTTTTTTTTGAGTTGGAGTCTCACTCTATGGCCCAGGCTGGAGTGCAGTGGCACGTTCACGGCCACCCCAGCACCGACCTGCTGGGCTCCAGTGGTCTTACCTCAGCCTTCCAAGTAGCTGGAACTATAGGCGTGCGCTACCACGCCCAGCAAATTTTGATTAATTGTAGAAATGAGGTCTCACCAATTTGCCCAGGGTGTTTTTCAACAGGCAATCCCTCACCTTGGATTCCCAAAGTACTGAAATTACTGGCTTAAGCCACCATGACTTGTTTTGTTTTGTTTTTGTTTTGAGGAAAGGGCAAGGGCACTTGTGGCTTCTTTATGACCGAGAAAAGAGAATAAATGGAGAGGAATGGACCCCAGGTGTTGAAGAATGTGGGCACACAATGTTGTGATGAAGACCTTGAGATGGGGGGGACGGGTTGTAGGGACAGAAATAGAGATGTCTGTCTCATATCTGAATTCAATTTGTTTCATTAATACTGTCATAAGGCTGAGGTGGAAGGATCGCCTAAGCCCAGCAGGTTGAGGCTGCGGTGGCCATGAGCGTGCCACTGCTCTCCAGCTTGGGTGACAGAGTGAGACTCCAACTCAAAAACAAACAAACAAAAGTATCTGTCATAGACCTAGCAAAACACCTTTCCAAATCCCTGCCGTTAGTCAAAAGAGCCCAACTTCCTAACAGGTAGTTGAGTCCTAAGTCTGAGCCCTTATTTGGGGCATCAGCTGGGCAAGCTGCTGGTGGTCCCTTAGGCTCTCTAAGCCTCAGTTTTCTCATTAGTAAAATGGGATTACTAATAGGACCTACCTCATAGTATTGCTGTTTGCTTCTCAGCTCCTGGTTGGGGGCAGTACTTTGGTGTGTTTTGAGTCGGACCTGTGTGACCAATGATGTCACAATACCCTTCTAGATTCCGGTGTCTCCACTAGGGCTCCTTGGAAGTCAAGGACTCGAATGGATATGCGAGACCCCTAACAACTGAGGGTTTCATGAGCGCAATCCTTTGCCAAGATCTTGGTGAATATTCTCTCATTGTGTGACTGTATCTTAGAACTTGTTTTACTTTTGGTCATGATTGTGCTTGGCTGGATGCTTTTTGTCGGACTTGCATGTTACATGGGCACATTTCCGGAGTTGATGGTAAGCAATGACCCTGCCTGTAAATCCCTGGTGGTCAGTTCTGGTGCTGGCTTATCCTCCCATCTGGGGTTTCTGACCAAATGGAAAAGATAGTTAAGACCTCGCCACTGATTAAAGTCAGAATGTGATGAAAACAAAGTTAATTTCTTAGGTTGCTTCCCATATTTCTGGGGACATCCTTTTCGGTCTTTTTTTCTCTCCTTTGGATACATAACTTCACTTGTTTGAAGATGTTATGAGATTTGTAAGGGATTGGCTGGAGATAGCACTTGACTTGTGGATTTCCAGTGATCAGTGGTTGCTGGTAGGAAGGGGACGTGTGGGAACAGGTGGGGCCTTTCAGCAGCCCTTTCAGTCACCACACGGAGGCAGTTACCTACTGGATTAATGAGTGAAGCCATCGCTGCCCTTAAATTTTATTTCTGACTCAGCCTCCAGCTCTGAAGAGGGAAGAGAGAAAGACACGACTGAGGAGGCGGGCTTTGAACGAAGATCTGCTGCAGTGAGTGTGGTTAGGTCTGCCGGGCTGGCTCTTATTTTCAGAGAACTTGGTGACACTTGATATCTCAGTGGACAGTTTTTATTCCTCTGGAAAAGATAATAAACTGCAGAAGGGGCAAAAATTTGAGGTATAGAGTGGGGAAAGAGAAATCGAGGAATTCTGCTGAGGATAGCAGGCCAAGGTTCTCTGGTAATAATAACTGTGGCTCATAGGTATTCTTTTTGGAGACTGCTGCCATCTATTAATTTATTTGCCCCTCACAAGCACTATATTGGGCCAGGCCAGGCTTGGTGGCTCAACCTGTAATCCCAGCACTTTGGGAGCCTGAGGCAAGTAGATTGCCTGAGCCCTGGGTTCGAGACCAACCCGGACAACTTGGCGAGACCTCGTCTCTACAATATATAAAAAATTAGCCAGGCATGGTAGCGTGCACATGTAGTTCTAGCTACTTGGAAGGCTGAGGTGGAAGGATCGCTGGAGCCCAATAGGTTGACACTGGGGTGGCCGTGTGTGTGCCACGGCACTCCAACCTGTGCCACAGAGTGAGACTCCACCTCAAATATATATGTATATATAATGTAAATATATATGTATATATATATTTTTTTGACCATCATTTTGAATGTCCCTTTTGGTAGATTCTGAAACTGGTGTTAATATAAACTTGAGTTCAGGCCCTAACTTTGCAACTTACCAGCTATATGACCTTGGGAAACTTTAATTTCTCTGATCCTCAGTTTCTTCTTCTGTACAATAAATATGAGATATCTGAGTATCTGTTTTTGTGAAGATTGCATTTGAGAATTCATTTAAAGCTTGACAATTAGCATTTAGTAAAAGGCTTACTTAACAACAAGCAAAAGAATGAACCAGTCAACAAAGATTTACTGGTGACAATGGTCTTAACTAGGCCACACAAGCTAGCTCATTGGTGAAGATGGAATGCAAGTAGATTTCTCTCTCTGGACTTGATAGCCTCGCTCCACAAGACCTACCCAGGAAACATTACTAGCAGAATCCCTTTTAGCAAGCCATCGTGGGTTTCTTACATCCCACCCATTTCATTTGGACCTGTTTATTTCAGAGCTGTTCTCGTTGTTAGAGAAATTTAACTTGGAGAGTTGTGTGTGTGTGTGTGTGTGTGTGTGTGTGTGTGTGTGTGTGTGTGTGTGTGTGTGTGTTTTGAGTCAAAGTCTCATTCTTGCCCAGGCTGGAGTGCAGTTCTACAATCATGGCTCATCGCAGCCTGGACTTACTGGACCCAGGTAATCCTTCCGCCTCAGTCTCTTGAGTAGTTGGGACTGCAGGTGCACATCACCATGCCTGGCTAATTTTATTTTTGTTTTTTTTTTTGTAGAGACAAAGTCTTGCTATATTGCCTAAGCTAGTCTCAAACTCCTGGACTCTAGCAGTCTTCTCACCGTGGCCTCCCAAAGTGCTGGGATCACAGATGTGAGTCACTGCACCCGGCAAGAGCGTTTTTGTTTTTTTTTTTGAGTTGGAGTCTCACTCTGTCGCCCAGGCCGGAGTGCAGTGGCATGCTCCCAGCCACTGCAGCCATGACCTGCTGGGCTCTGGTGATCCTTCTGCTTCAGCCTTCCAAGTAGTCGGAACTACAGGCATGCGCTATCACACCTGGCTAATTTTTGATTTATTGCAGAGAGGAGGGCTCGCCAAGTTGCCTGGGTGGGTCTCGAACCCAGGGCTCAGGGAATCCACTTGTCTCGGTCTCCCAAAGTGCTGGGATTACAGGCTGAGCCACTGAGCCCAACTAAGTGTTTTAATAATATACTGGTTATAGGACCAGAAGGTTTTTTGGGAAGCTACTTCAGAAGGTAGGGGCACTAAGGCTCAGCCCCAGGTATACTTCGAGCAGGACATGATGGTTGGTGCTTTTTTCCTCCATCTGCCACAGGATTTCTGTGAGAGCATTGGCCCAAAGCAGTCAGACCTTTGTGAGGGTGGGGTAATGGAGGTACTGGGCACTTGTTTAGCTGACCCACTGCTTCACTGTGGTGTCCTGACCAAACCACTTAAACTAGTCTGTGCCTCAGTTTCTCCAGCTGTGCAATGAATAAAACAGCCTATCTTCCTCCTCTTCCCTCCTCAGGGAAGTTGTAAGGAGATTTACCCCGCATGATGAAGGGTTAACTGTGACATTTTGTAAAATGCAAGATTATTTTTCTTTGAACAATCTAACAACAGGATATGGCTAATTGCTCATAACAAACCTACCCAGCAAATTCAATTAATCCAAGCTCTTTTTGTTTTGTTTTTTACGTAGTGATGGTTTTTGTTTGGTTTTTTGCTTCTGATTGCATAAAGCCAATGGTTAAGCATTTTGGCAGGTGATGAGTTAACAGGTGTGATGCCAGCTAGGTCCTAACTACATAGAGTCACCAGAGCACAGGGCCCTTTTGAAAAGTTTTCTTTAGCCCCAACACATCTGGCATCCTGGCCAGCCATCCCATAGTTGCTCCCTTTGGGTCCGCAAGGTCACAGAAGCTGATGTCATAATTGGTGTGTGAGCTTTGCTCGCCCAAATGGCTATGGGTAGCCATTTCAGTTCAGACTAGGCCACAAAGCTTCTTATCCAGAAGCTGTCATGCTGGGCCATTCACCATCTGGTCTCAAATGAGGACAGTCCAGTTCTCAGGACTCAGGGAATAGAACACCACATTTTCCGGAGTCACAAATTCTTCCCGTGCATACCGGCTGAGCAAGAAGCACCACAATGATTGTTGTCTTATGGATGCTTCTTATTGCAGGCACCATATGGAAGGGATATAAATATCCCCCAGGAGGGGTAAGTATACCTTCAACTTTGTTCTCTATCTTACTTGGAAATATATTCCCCCGGAGAAACAAACTGAGCATGAAAACCCAACTCTAGTAACTTTAGAAATAAACATTCTTTTTATTAAAGAAAAATTACCGTACTTACCTACTTCTATTGTTACACTCCTAAATTGGGAGAGTTCTCTCTTTCATGCCTTGTTTTATATATATCCTCTTAAGTCTTTATTCTTTTTAAGTTCTTCAGTTTGGAAGCAGAGGAAAGGATATTTCAGGGTCAGAGTCAAAGCTTTCTGACTTGGACGACCTAGTCGCTGTTGTGTTAATAGGACATTATGAATGTTCAGCTTTTCATACCATTTCCTAAATCAGCCTGCTTCAGGAACCCAAATGTATCCCTTTGACAAGTAAATACTAGTCTGTAAAAGGGTTCTGGTGGCTGATGTTTTTTTCCTATCTCCTCCTCAGCTTTCATACTGCTAAGTTCCTCTGGCAGCCAGGATCAGAGCCATTAGGGTGAGACAGGATTTGACAGAGGCACCCCTTTGAGCCCTTGGCCTCAGCCCCACACAAGCTACTACTAGACCTATCTGACATACCTTTTTCCACCTAGACCCCAGTGGAAGTATGCAAAGATGATCCCGGTGAAGTAATGCAGCTCTGAAGCTCACCTGACCAGCTGTACAGTTCCTGTTGTTGGTTTTGCATAAAGTAATTGCGCATTATTTTGTCACATTTTATGTAGAAAGTTACCACACTTTTTAAGATGAACGACCTGGTATTTTCTTAGCTTGTAACAGGGAGATGGAGGGTGTGGCAAGGTAGTTGGGTGGATGAGAGATGATTTGGTCCCTTCTGTTGATTTCTAAGACTGGCACTAAGACTAAGATACCTTAGTTCAGTTTTTTCTTTGTTCTTTTTTGAGTTGGAGTCTCGCTCCATCATCCAGGCTGGAGTGCAGTGGCACACTCATGGCCACCTCAGTGTTGACTTGATAGGCTCCAGCAATCCTTCCTTCTCAGCCTTCCAAGTAGCCGGAACTACAGGTGTGCACTACCACACCAGCTAATTTTTGATTTATTGTAGAATTGAGGTCTCGCCAAGTTGCTTGGGCTGGTCTTGAACCCACGGGCTCAGGCAATCCACTTGCCTTGGCCTCCCAGAGTGCTGGGATTATAGGCTGAGCCACCGAGCCTGTCCCAATTTGTTTTCTTTCCTGTGTCCTTAAGTATAGAAATTCTCTAGAAATTCCTTATATGTTTCCAAAGTAATACCTTTCTCCTGGGTCCAGAGGTGAAAAATGTTACAGAAATGTTACAGAAAGATTGGGGGTATCCTGTGACCTTATCTTGGCTATTACTACCAACCCAAAGCTTAACACGATATAAGGAAAGGACATTTTTATATTGGGGCTAAATACTAAAGTATACGTTATTTTAACCCTTACAGTAACCTCCTGAAACCAGTATTAGCCTCATTTTACAAAATGGCAAAAATGAATTTGAGGGGCTTATGTATCTTGCCAACACACACAGCCCTGGGTTGCAGTTAGGGTTAAGATCCAGGTTTTCTCCTTGGCACTCTTCATATGCCCAGGTAAAGAGCCAAACAAAAGACACTGTGGGATATCCATAGATCTTGTTTAAATGTCCCCTCCCCTGAAAAGCCACAACGTTGCCTGAGGATTCTTTTAGCAATGACTACTGAAAAGATGCGAACTTACGAGAGACAGAGACCTAACAAGAGCAAATACTTTTAAAACAAATTTTATGGATCTGTACCCGTTCTGGGGATGCTTGATATAGTTCCATTATTCAAGAGAAGTACACCCTTTCCCAGCAAAGTGGATCTTTTGGTTACATAGAAAACAAATGCTTTCTATGGGTGGATGTTATGGGATGTTTACTGAACAGTTTTTTAAGTGGCTTTTTGCAATGAGTGGATTACTTTTTTTTTTTTTAATGGAAGTAAATGAATTCAAAATCCATAAGTGAAACTTTTGTCATTTCTGAATCTAGGATACTAGCATTTCATATATATATAATTTTTTTTTTTTTGTCAGAGTCTCATTCTGTCACACAGGCTGGAGTGAAGTGGCATGCTCACAGCCACTGCAGCCTCAACCTGCTAGGCTCAGGCAAGCCATTCTCCTTGGCCTCCCAAAGTACTGGGATTACAGGCTTGAGCCACACCATCCAGCCTCTTACATAGTTCTTATGTGACCTAGTCTCAACACATTCCAGTGAGTTAAGTACCTGCATTCTCTGGCTGTATGGTTGTACCCACTTGCCTCATAAACATTTCTAAGGACTCATCTTCTCAGTCATCTCAAGCTCTTTTTATTGTAGGGGACCAGAACCTGCTCATTTTGAAAAGAGGAACTATATAACCCACTTCTGCTTGCCTTCAGTTTGAGCATATGCCAAAACTCTAGTCAGTAAGCCAGATTCCGTTGCTTTGGCCACCTACCAGGTCTCTAAGCTAGTAGGGGGAGAGAAGAGATATCAGTAGTGATAGGGGCTGAGCAGACACGAATGTGTGAGAGAATAAGCAGAGGAGTGTGCAAGAGGCAAACTCTGCCTCTGAAATCTGATGAGTCTACTAAGGTTTCTAGCTGGGAAAATGTTCAGGGTGATGAGATAATCTCAAAATTTTGATCAATAAATGCAAACCAGTAAAAATATCAATAAAATATTTTTAATGCCTACAATTTCTTGTATACATAAATTGCAAAACTTTCACTTGTATATGCAAAAGTATATTCTCTTGCAGGTCAACAGCACCAGAAAACAAGCTAAGCTATGTAAAAGTTGTTTTTTTAAAACCTTGATTTGTCCATTATGTAAAAGACAGGATGGTTTAATAACTCCAAAGAAATCTATATCCCATTTAATCATACACTAAATGCCTGAATATTTATTTCATCACATCTACTCAGAAAATAAATAGTCTAATATATTCAGCACATTGAAAATAAAACAACCAGTCTCTCTTCATATATTTATTCTCTTTCCAAACATGTTTTGGTCTCCTGCTATATCTCATAAATGCACTAATAGCTGCTTTTAAGTTACAAAATACAAAACAATTTATTTCTTGGAGAAAATCTTGGGGATTACATTAAAAATGAAATTGAGTTCCCATAGACTTTCTTTTTTGATAACAGTCTTTGAACCTTTTTACGGCACACATGTAAGGCTGCCTGTGACATGTGGTACCCTGCCCTCCAAATGGACATAATTGCATTTATAGTTTAGAGAAAATACAAAGACAAGTTCTGAAAGTGGCCTTAAAAGAAGTGCCCTTTGCTTCGACATAACAACATCAAAAGCAAGTGGGACTGTGCAACCAGAGCCATGAGTTTTATGAAAACTACTTTCCTTTCACATCATTTGTGTTGAGAATGCCGCACCCATGATCATGTAACATTATTACAATCATGAAATAACATTACTACATTCGTGATTAACATTACACAATAAAAGGCACATCTTCAAATGTTGAATGAAATCTGAAAATCAAAACAGTAGAGGATACATTAAAATCAAGCACTTAATTCATAAACCTTGATAAAATAACAGCTTATTCCAGTTTCTTCAAAGGTTGGTTAGCTTTTTGTAAGAGTGGTCAGGAAGTGCAGAACAAAATGGAAGACAAGATTTGGAAACACAACCAGAATTTAAAAGATTTACTCATAACTTTCCTTGTTTCTTTTAAATGAGCCATAGAAGTACTCTTTTAAATCAATAGCTATATTATAGAAGAAATGCATTCAGAAGTGATAGACACAAGGTTAAAACCTGATTTTTCCTACCAAGTCCTGGAAATTTATTATTAACACAATGGTGCCTTTCTGTACAAATAGCTGCACCATATCATAAGTTTACTGCTAGTAAACTTTAAGCCACCAGAAATATTTCAGCTATGGCAAGCACTTGATTGTAATTATAGATTTCAGAGTGAATATCGAAAAAAAATACATCCAATACGAAAGTTTTGAAGGGGGAAAAAATCACATAAAGGGCAACAAATGAAATAATGTCGTAAACAGATTTTATTATATGGGACATCACACTACCCTTAAATCAGTTTCACTGAAGATATTTGAGATGAGAGAAAATCAACAGTATTTTGTGCTACCAGTGTAACAGTTCTATATGGGGAGTTTAAAAGGGTGTCATTTTTAGTGATGAAGACACCTTTCATGGGATTCAACTTCAAAACTAAATCCTTGCATTTTTCAAAGTTTGAAACTCAATTTAAAAAGAGTCAGTCTTAAAGGACTGAGCCACATGATCTCATTAAGGGAGGCTAACAATGGTAATCCATAATACCCAAACTTGAAGAATAAAGACTTCATGGATAAAAAGAAATACACAAAAACATTTGGGCCTATTCAAGAGCAAGGGTCTGTTACAGGACAACCCCTCCTACTTCCTAATCCCCACCGTCCAATGGCTTAAGATAGTCAGAACATTAGCTGTGGAACTGTCCTACAAGCTTATGTCTGACTTCCCCGAACCCTCCATACTTAAGAATCAAGGACAAATGCTCTGTAGCATATCTCATTTTCTGTTGCTGACTATCCTTCAGATTTGGCTTCCTTCCAGCCAGATACTACGTCAGCCTGATTGGAATTCCTTGGACTTGAGATTTAAGTGATATCAAGTCTACAGACATGAGTTAAAGAAAGGTGAAAATGAAGTTCCACAGCCTGATAAAACACCAGTAACAGGGAACATCTTTTTCTACCTGGGAAAAAAATCTCTTCACAGTGCATAGTTTGAAATAAAAGTGCAATATGGGCAAAAAGAGATACACATTTATTGATACACATAAATTTAGTTTTTGGTTTTTTGCCATTAATATTTGCTAACAAATTTAATGCAAAGTCATTAACATCAAGAGGTACAGGGGCACCTTGGGATTTCAAAATAGCTTTATGATGGGGAGGGGAATAGGGAGGACGGGGCCGGGCCTCACATGTCACTTTCTTATTTTTTTAAACTATTACTCTTTCAAATTTAATGTTTGAATAAAATAACTATTTTTCTTTCAATATAAAAATGAATTTTTTTAGGTAAAAATCAATCAGCACAGTGACCTTGTCTATCTTACACTAAAACCAATATAACAGTAAATCTGAAAGGAAACTTGGAAAAGATTATTATACTGTCATAACCTGTATTTTATCTTGAAAATTTCTTTATTCCTAGTTACCTAAATTAATAAGAATGCTCAGCATCCAATCCATGAATAATACAGAATATGATTTATTCTACTTTGTACTTCAAAGTCACAGGGATGGCATCCATATGCTAAAGCCTACTCTACATTTTCTGGTTCTCAATCCAAACATAGATTAGGACAAGTCACTTTATTGCTGGCAACATTCAAGGAAGGGCCAGTTTCCTCATAAAAAGACAATAAGTTTGATTGGGAGCTGGGCAGTGCCCTACTCACATATCAGCAAAAGAATTATAGAAGTCAAGAGACAATCTTTTTTTCCCTTTCAAAAGAGCAAAGGAACAATAAAAGATTGGCTGACTGGTGAGCAGCCCCACAGTAGAGTGCATAGCTCATCAGGATCAAGGCTGGCACCTGTGAACAGTTCACTTCATAAGAGCACACAGTGGGCATTTGATCATCTGCATCACAGATGTCACCCTGGAAAAGATTTGAAAATATTTTATGCTCAAATGACAGCCTGCAAATGACAGTATGCATTCCTTC